TCATCCCTACAAGCCTCATCAGGGGATGAGTGGGCGACTGATGAGTGGGCGACTGATGAGTGGGCGACCACGAAACAGGCTTGTAGGGATGAACTTGTAGTTTACTTGTCTTTTTCCTCCCACAATATATATATATATATATATATATATATACATCTATATATATATATCTATACATATATATCTATATATGTATAGATATATAAGATGCTAGCTAGATAAGCGGAAAAATCATATAAGAAGGTGTCCACGCATGACACATTTGGTTTCAGAAGTATACCGGCTTTAACTAACACCCTGTCGAGGGGTGAAGTGAGAGGGGGGGGGAGGTCGATCAAGATATTGCTATCTCTCGGTGTCGGTCCAATCCTTTCCTACAGAGCTTGGGTTGCCTGTGATAGGATCTCTTCTTCACGAAACAAATGAATGGCGTCACTCTTGTTCTTGACAAATGCAACAAGCTTGAGTGTAACTTGGATTGATTAAGACTACCCAAGCCATTCATTTGCGAACATTTCATGCACCTAAACTACCACCGGATTAGCACCAATGCATTATGTGATTTTAATATTTTCTCCTTAATTTAAGTCTTAAGTAATAATTCGCTCTCTGACTTTAATTGAAAAGCAATCGGCGAGTGAATTCGAAAACTTGAAAATCAATGTGTCATCAAACTATGAAAGCAGTCGAACCTGTTTTTAGCAGTCACCTTGAGAATGAATTTCTAATGTCAGATCGCTTGATACAAGTTAAAAAATAAGTGGAGTCTAGTCCTTTCTGTAAAGACGAGAGCGATTAATCACGAGTATGGTTACTTACAAAATCGGTGACACAAATACTCATGGTTATCATTCAGAACTATGATTTTTTGATTTAGCATATTCACAGATCAAAACACGATCATGGGGGACTTTTTTTAAACCAGTGCCCACTCTTTCAGAGAAATGATAAGGTTATCCGACGGGTTATGAAACGTCTTCCAGCGGATAACTGTTAAGGAAACATACTACGCTATCCACCGGATAGTGCTTCATCCAGTGTATAGCACCATTCACCTTTCGTAGCAATCTTGACCTGAGAATACGCCAAAAAGTTTACACGACTAGCGCACGGAAATGAAATCGAAATGAGAACGCTATCCATCGGTTTATAAAACTCCATGGATCATACAGCGCTATCCACCGGATGGTGATTCATCCAGATGATAGCACAATCCACCTTTCGTATTAACCAGGGCCAAAGAATAAGCTAAAAAATTTATTGTTCCTCATTAACATCCCCAGTTGCTACCAATCCACCCGTCTGTAAACAGGAAATACATCTAAAGCTTCCCACCTCCCCCCAACCACCCCCCCTCACTTTGATATTTGAAAACGAAACTTTAGGATGTTAATTTGCCTGTGAACAAGAAAAACATTAGGCAACAATACGAGTCAGAAAACCAAACTGGAAAGCAACTTTGGTCCTGCTATTCTCGATGGAGCTGTTTTTTGATTTCATCCGAGCTTGAATGAATTTTGGAAATAAGTTTTGGAAAAGATGTGAAGATAATTTCAGACCCAATTTTTTTTTTACCAAAGAGAAATTCCCTGTTGGTCACTTTCAGGAATGAAGGAGTTTTAACTTTACACTACGTAAGTAGATATAAATTCACGAGGATGTTAAAGTGCCCCTGAGACGAAAATTGACCATTTTATTTTGGGCTAATTCTTTTACAGAATGTTGAATTGGGTCAAGTTAAAACCCTTTTTGCCATTAAAAACTCAAAATAAACCGTCGATGACCAATTTTTACCGCTTCAAAGTCGTCCAAAAATCGTTCCAGCCGAGCCCGCA